AACTTGAACCCAATTCTTCTTGACTTTGAGTTCAGTTCTCTATCTACCATGACATACTTGTGGATTCTCTGTTTTTAATTGAGAATGCAAAATCACAGAGACTTAGGTCAAAATCCTGCCTCTCTGATGCTTCCTATCTTTGTGAGACGTTGGAAGACAATCCTGCATCTCAAGTTCTTCATGTATGAAAGAGAGGGTAATCTAGTTGGTGGGAGGTCCCTTCTAGTTTTCATCCTATGATCTCTTATGTATTAAGTTAATATGAATCAAAGATACTTCTTACATATGACAATTTAAGGGCATGTAATATGAATTTCTTCTATTTTTCTCCAAAATTTGCATGCCCTTCCATTTATTCCATCTTTAATATTCTTTAGTATTCTAAATTTTAATTTGTCATGTGCTTTCATCTCAGTAATAGTCAAAATATTTGTATAGTGCTGAAAGATTGTGAAGTGCTTTACATATATTAAACTTAAGGGACAATTGATTAATTGTCCACTCTGATCCAGACTTCTATTACCTCATGCCTACTCTATTGAAATAGCCTTCTGTTTAGTCTCCCTGACACTAGTCTTTCACCATTCTAATCTATCCTCAACTGCCAAAGTGAGTTTCCTAAAGTGTAGATCTGGTGCTGTCACCTCCCTACTCAATAAACCCCAATGGCTCCCTATTACCTCAAAACGAAAATTAGAAATGTGCTGTTTGGCATTTAAAGCCATTCACAACCTGATCCTTTCTGACCTTTCCAGTCTTCTTATACTCCATTTCCTTCCATGTACCCTCTAATCTGTGTAAAGTGTCCTATTTACTCTTCCTCTCTCCATTTCTAGACTCCATGCCTTTTTTCTGGGTATTCCCCATGTCTGAAATGTTCTTCTTTCTCACTTCTGCCTCCTTGCTTCCCTGAATGCCTTCAAAAATTGTGCTCAAATCTCACCCTATGCAAGAGGCTTTTCCCAGTCATTCCCATTCCCCACTCCCACATCCCCTGTCACTGCTATTGCCTTTCCTCTGAGATTACTTTCTTTACACTCGTAATGCAAATATTTTGGCAGAACTTGTGTGTTTTGCATGTTGTCTCTATCATTAGAAAATGAGTTCCTTGAGAGCAGGGATAATGTTTTTTGCAGCCTTTACTACAGTGCCTACAGGGTAAGTGCTTAATAAATACTTGCTGACTGATTGATATAATATGTAAACTATGCTTAGTGGCAGAGACAGTGTTAAATACACCCTCTTCTCTCTCTTTTTTTTATTTTTGTATCTCTATGGTCCAACAGAGAACAGGGGCTAAATAAATGTTTATTTGAATTAAAATATGTAATGCTATAAAGCAATTATATACTAGTTATAATGTAGAAAAAAATAATACACAGGTGAAAAGTGTTATGTAAGAACTGAGGGTGAAAATATTGTTTTTAACTAAGGAAATTAAAGTAGATTTCCTGGAAGCAGTGGTATTTGTATTTCCCTTTCAAGATGAGTAAACACTGGGAAGAGAAAGAGGGGAAGAAACATGGAAGAGGACATCCCAGGGACAAAAAAGAACATATACAGAATCAAATAGCATTAAACTTTGGCTACGCTTACTTTTCTGAGCTTACTTATAAATACTAAACTTCTGAGTCAGAATTAATTAGCTATAGAAACATATCAATCAATCAATAAGTAATACAATTATTTTGTAATCTTTTATGGACCTGATTGTCTCATATAAACCTGATTTTAAAAAAAACCATAAAAACAAGACTATAACCTCTTCCACAAGAGTACAAGCCTTGTACACAAGTACACTCCTTGTACAAGAGTACAAGCTCTCATTCATTCTTAATTGCTACTTGGGTCTCTACCCACAAGGTCAGAGAAGATAAGAACAAACCAGGAAAACAAGTCAGAGAACGACTGCTAAAGAAGTCTCCATGATGGCGTATTTTAGATACTAACTTTTATCATAAAGAGGAAGGATATAGCAACAGGAGAGTATTAATTCTCTGTATTTTTGTCACTTCCATAAGTAGATCAAAATCTAATAAGTAGATTTTTTTTTTCATCTTCTCCCCCATGACAAAATGAGAATCAGGAAAGGGGTCCAATAGAAATTGACAAATTAGTTATGTTGTTGTCATTGAATCAAGTGGTTTTCAGCTATGTCTGACTGACCCCAATTGGGGTTTTCTTAGCAAAGATACTGGAGTAGTTTGTCATTTTCTTCTCCAGCTCATTTTGGATATTAGGAAACTGAAACAAACAGGGTTAAGTGACTTGCTGAGGGTCACACAGCTAGTAAGTGCCTGAGGCAAGATTTGAACTGAGGTCTTCATAACTCCAGGGCTGGTAGTCTATACACTGAGCAACTTAGCTGGCTATATTAGTTATATGATAAAGGTTTTTTTTTTAATGGTAAAAGCTTCTAATTTAAGATGTGAAGTCTAAAAATAACAAATATGTTGTAATAGAGAGAGTTCTTGACTTTGAGTCAGGGTGACCTAGATTTCAGTCCTACTTAGTAGTTGTATGACTGTGGTCAAGTTAAGACTTTTCTAAATATCATGCAAGTCTCTAAGATTATCTACAGGTCAATCAGTCAATAAACATGTACAAATGATAGTCTCTGTCCTCAAAGGACTCACAGTCAAATGGGGGAGAAAACAAGTAAACAAATGCGTACAAACAAGCTATGTAAAGGATAAATAGGGAATAATTAAAAGAGGGAAGGCAATAGAATTAAGAGGAATTGAGAAAGCCTCCCTGGAGAAGGTGGGATTTTAGTTGAGGCTTGAAGGAAGCTGAAGTAGCCAGTAGGTAGAGTTGAGGAAGGATAGAATTCTAGGTGTGGGAGAGGGCTAGAGAAATGCCTAGAGCCAAGAAATGGAGTGTCTTATTCAAGGAATAGTAAAGAGGTCAGTGTCCCTGAATTGAAGGCTTGTAAGGTATAAGAAGACTGGAAAGGAGTGTGTGTGTGTGTGTGTGTGTGTGTGTGTGTGTGTGTGTGTGTGTGATAAAGGGCTTTGAATGCCAAAGAGAGGATTTTATGTTTGATCTAGGAGGTGATAATGAGCCGTTGGAGTTTACTGATTATGGGTGAGACATAATCTTACCTGTACTTTAGAAAAATCGCTTTGATTGATGAATGGAGAGTGGGAGAGAATTGAAACAAAGCAGACCCATCAGCAAGCTGTTGCAGTAGTCCAAGAATAATATGATGAAGTTCTGTACCAGGGTGTTGTCGGAATCAAAGGAAAAAAGACCTCATATTTGGAAGATGTTACAAAAGTAAAATTGACAGGCCTTGGCAACCGATTGGACATAGGGCAGGGAGTGGTGAGAGTTAGGAAGAAAAATGACACCAGGTTTATGATTCTGAGATGGGAAGTTGGAGTTGCTCTCTGGAAGAATTTGTTAGGGGGAAAGATGGATTTGGTTTTGACATCTTGAGTTTAAGATGTTTACTGGACATCCATTTTTAGATGTCTGGAAGGCCAGTGGATATGGGAGACTAGAGGCCAGCAAAGAAATTAGAACAGGATAGGAAGACTTGAGATTGTTAATGGAGAGATAGTAATTAAATCCCAGAGCATAGAGGAAGAAAAGAAGAAGACCTAGGACCAAAGCCTATGGGATACCTATGGTTAGAGGATATGAACTGAATGAGGATCCAGCCAAGGATATTTAGAAGGAATGGTCTGGTTGATAAGAGAAGAACCAGGAAAGAGGGGTATTCCAAAAACCCAATATATAGGCATGTTGTTTTCAATGTTGGCTTCCTATTCCGCACAGACAAAATTATAGACCCTTGGTGTATTGATAAATTTTACAGTGCTTACCCTGATAAAAAGGAAGTCCTCATGATTCATTTTTCTAAGGTCTATTTGTGTAAATGAAACCAGGAAACAAAAACTAGAAAATAAAAACTAATCAGGTTTGTCAACTGTCCTAGAAAACATTAATTCTATACAAATGTCCTGCTATTTAATAAATTGTTATAAGAAAGTGAATGCAAACAATGCATCCCTTAATTGCATTGTTAGAGTGAATGTGCTTAATAAATTATCTATGTAGTCATTGAATAATTTATTGTGCTCCTACTCTGTTCAAGACAATATCCTAAGTAGTGGAGGGTTTAAAGAATGCAATACATAGATTCTCTTCCTTCTTTAAGTTTATAGTATAATAGGAGTCATGAGACAGCTACACAAAGAACTCTAATATAAGGTAGTATCTGAAATTGCACTAAGAGAGAAAATTATAGGCATCAAAAACAGGAATTGTGACTCAAAAAGCATGTATTCCCTCTCTTTAGAAGTCTTCATGCTGAGAGTAGATGACTGCTTGTGAGAATTTTATGGTCAAGATTCCTTTATAAGTTGGAGTAAATGGCATCTGAGTTCATTTCCAAATCTAAAAGTTGATAATTCCTGGAGTTAGTAAATGGAAGCAGGTTTATGGAGAACTTGAAGAAAGTATAGAAATTGGACAAAGCTTAGGTGGGTAGTTCAGGCTGAGGAAATAACTGTGAGCAAAGGCAGTGAGGATGGAAACCTTCCAGACATGTTTAGGGATCAGGAAATATTCTACTTTGGCTGGAACATTGTATATTTAAAGTGTTTGGAGAAGTGTCTGGAAAGGTAAATGAAACTTTATTTATTTGTGTTATGCAAAAATCACATTGTATACTGCATTATTCTCTTTAATTATAACATTGAGTAATTGGCATAGTTTATTTCTTAGAAAGTGAAGTATCTTCCCCATTTTGATCTGCTTAGAGGCTATATACCAGATATTTAGAGTTATAGGAACACAGATTTAGAGCTGGAAAGGTCCCTTTGAGGTCATCTAATCAAGCACTCATCTCTTTGGATAGTATGTCGTATGTCTTGGAGTTAAAGTTCTCATAGATCGTAATAGGTCATCATACATTTAATTTCCATAAGGAATTTGTGTACTGGGTTAAGCTAACCACATGTATATATTATTTGTTTGTTTCTGTATTTCAGAGAGGGCCAACAGTCACCTGAACAGTGGCAGAAGATGTATGGAAGATGCTCTGGTAATGAAGTGTACCACATTATCATGGAAGAAAGTACATTTTTTGCTGAATATGAGGGAAAGAGTTTCACATATGCCTCTTTCCATGCACACAAAAAGTATGTTCCTATTGCCAAGTGTGTTTGAAAATATAAATGAATCTTACTTTTTATACACAGCTTGCTGAATCAGGATACATTACAGTTTTTTACAAATTTGTGTGAAAAAAATTATCATTCAATCCCTGCAAATTCTCTAGGTATTTTTTGTTGTTGTTAAGAAGATTTAAGATTTTCAGGAGAAAGTTCCTCTATTCTTAAAAAGGATAAATGAAAGCATCATTACATTTTAAACTACCAAGGGTAGTTTATTTCTTATTTCAGCAATTAAAAACTGATAAAAGGAAAATAATCCTTTTGGATCTAATCTCCTAAGGGAATTTGCAGATGAAAAAAACAAAACAAAGCATATTGATTATTGAGAAATTTCATGTGGCCAAATATAATTTGAGTCATCTTCCCTCGTGATCCAAATAGGACTTTTTTCCCTGCCTTTTAGTCAGAGAACCAGAGAATGACCTTCTGTGGAAGGAAATTATTTTCTGTCATTTTAAAACTGTCACAACTGCATATAAGTAAAGGCAGTTATGAATCTGTTTCTTAATGTATTTAGTAATGTAGAGCTTACTTTTAAATTCTAATATAGCTCTAGTAATGAGTATAAATATACAGTTTCCCATGGGACTCTAGCTTTTACTATTTTGAATTTTTTAAAGGTCTTTATGAGCAAAGTATTATTTAGGTGTTTTCCTGAGAATTAAAAAAATTATTTTTAGACAAAATTATTTCATTAGGGGGAAAATTAACTTCAATTTCATTTCTTAAAGGTATAAAATTGTAGTGTGCACATAACCTAGAGCACACAAGATATACATGATTTTATATATATATATATATATATAATATATATAATTTTATATATACACAGACATACATACATGCTATATATATGAATAAATAATACAAACCCCCTGCATAGTACTTTATAGTTATAGACTCATTGTTCATTTCTAAATCAAACTACTGCAGAGGAATACTTTTAGGGAATTGTTTTTTTAATAATAATGAGTATAGTAAAGCAGAAAAACCATTGCTTAAGGAATTAGGAGGACTGGGCTTGGTCCCATTTGGGCCATTCACTACGCCTTGGGTGACTTGGGATAGTCCTATTCTTTGAGTGTCACTTTGCTCATTTGTAAAATGGGCTAGATGATTCCCCCCCCTTCTTATGATTTTGAAATTCTGAGAGTCTGTGTGACTCTGTAAATATGAATGTCTTCTGCAAATTAACATTTGTCTCCTGTTAAATTGTAATTGTTACATGGTTATATTTTGCTTTTTTTTTTTTATTAAGGTTTGGTGTCTGCTTGATTGGTGTTAGGAGGGAAGATAATAAAAACATTTTGCTAAATCCAGGTCCGCGTTACATTATGAACGCTACAGACACGTGCTTTTACATTAATATCACCAAAGAAGAAAATTCAGCATTTAAGAACCAAGACCAGTTAAGAAGAAACAATGCATCAAGGTCATTTTATCATGGGCCTTCCAGGTTACCAGTGCATAGTATAATTGCCAGTATGGGTAAGTTTTCGAGAAATAGTTCATTCGGTACACATTCATTAAGCACTGACTGTTTACAGAAGGACTTTGTTAAGCACTGAATGAATTAGATACATATTATAAAGTCAAACTTCTGGAGAGTAATCTTTAAAAAAATTCTCAATTAGTGATTTTTTTGTGGATTGATAACATGAAAATTATGTTTATGAAACATGACAATTATTGTTCAGGTTTTTTTGACAATTTGACAATTATTTTTCTTAAGCTAAGATAGCAAAACTTTAAAAATATCAACCATGACATTTCTACCTTTTAAAAAATCTAGCAATACAGTGTAGAGTGTATCATATGTTGAAGATCATAACACAATTTATTTTGACTTGACAGTCAAAGAGGGGCTTAGTGAATAGAGTACTGGGTATGGAGTCAAGAAGACCTGAGTTCAAATTTGGCCTCAACTTACTAGCTGTGTGACCCTGAGCAAATCACTTACCCTCTGCTTGCCTCAGTTGCCTCAGTTGTAAAATGGGAACAATAATAACTGGACCTGCTTTATTGGATTGTTGTGAAGATAAAATAATGTTTGTAAAAAGTGCTTAGCACAATATATGACACGTAGTAGGTGCTACCTAAATGTGTATATTATTATATGTAAGACAGTTGTCATATAAGAAAGGTTTGGTTCTTATTTCTTTACTTTGGCTCTTTGAGCCAAAGTACCCTACCATGGTACCTGGAGGGAAGACTTAATTAACGGTTAGGTTTTGAATCATGTTTAAAGTCTCTTCCAAAGGAGAGAGTAGAAAAATATTTACTGTCCATTGTAAATCTGGTATGCGGCAAGTATTTATTTTCTACATTCAAAAGAAATACTTAACATAAAAGCTTCTCAAACACACACATTGATAGAAAAAAGAAAAACTTAAACTAACCAAGTATTTTAAGAATATTTATTAAAATAAGGACTTGTGTAGTACTAATAGTTTTTCATCCCACATTGAACATTAACTTTAAATTTGATATTTGATTGGCCATTGAGTTGCAGATTTTTTTTATTTCCTGATTCAGGTACTGTGGCTATTGACTTACAAGATACAAGCTGTAGATCTGCGAGTGGCCCTAACTTGGCTCTTCCTCCAGAGGGGAGCAAAGACACCAGGAGACCTAGTATAGCTCCTGTTTTGGAGGTTGCAGACACATCATCAATTCAAACATGTGACCTTCTAAGTGATCAGTCTGAAGATGAAACAACACCAGATGAAGACATTTCTACCAATTTAGAGTATGTATAATTCTTTAAGGGATAACGGGTGTAAACGTTTTGTATGGGGAAACAGTGAGGAATACCTTAATTAATTTTTACTAGATTTTTTTCATTTGTTATAGGTATATATATAATGCCCCCATTGCTTGCAAAAGTGGCTCTTTCCTTCCTTGATATACCAGGTAAACTTGAGTCATTCGTTCTGCTTCAGGATTTCATGCTGGAGAAAAAATGAACTTAGCTTTCAGCTTTCCAGGAAGTAGCAGAGATAGTGACTTCATAGAGACTATGGTCTGATATTTGGTTCTGAACATATTTTGATTAATAAAAAAGATGATCCCTTAAGCTTATCCACTTACAACATGATCTCAAAGCCCTTTTCCAACTGTTCACCCACTTTTAGCTATTATTTAAAAGCTTATCTTCCCTCTTCCTAAAATGTAACTCCAAGATTTGAAGTATTCCAAGTTTTAACTGACCAGAACACAGGACACAGGATCCTTACCTCCCTATTTCTCAACAATCTGCTTTGCTTAATTGAACCTAAGATTAATATATCTGTGATTGCAATCTCACCTGCCATTTAAGTCCTGTGAAATGTTGTTCTAGACTTGTTAAGCTGTGCAATATGTCTTATTGGTTAATGAAGGTCTTTCATAGTCAGACCTGTGGAGAGTTAAGGTGGGCTCAGCTCATGACAAAGAAGCAGAAATAGTAGTTATACAGAGAAATTCTGTTATTACTTTCATGAGATCACTTCTTTACCCATTTCCAGTACACTCTTATAAACCAGCCTCTTGATGTCATTATTTAGGATGCTTTTATTATGTATTTCATGATCATCTAGGTAAGCAATATGGTAACAAGTCCTAGAGAGAAATCATGCTGCTTTCATAGTACTGACAAGTCAATTTTGTGTCATAGACCCCTGTGACAAACTGGTAAAGCCTGTGAATTCTTTATCAGAATAATATTAGATATGTAAAATAAAACATATAGTATTATGATATCATTACAAATGATATTGAAACAGTTACCAAAATATTTTTAAAGTTCATAGACCCCAGATTAAGAACATCTGCTTCACATAAAGTTTTAAGCCTGATTCAAATAGAAGTCTTGTCTATATGTACATTTATATAGAAAATTTACTTATAATCCTCTACTTATTTTCATTATGAATATTACATATTGGTAATAATGGTATGAAAAATTAGCTGGTGTATCTACTGAGGAGGGTGAATGAGTAATGATTGTTACAGCAGCAAGATGCCTGGCCTTGGAGACATGGAGACATGGGTAGGAGTCCTATCTCTGGCAAATACTAACTGTATGACTACAGGTCAATTAACCTCTTAATGACCCAGGCAGCTCCTTAAGACTAAAAGTCATAGGTGAGTTGCCAAACTGTGTTAGTTTACTGAGGGTTTCTGGCATTGATGAAATCACAGCTCAGGACTAAAATTAAATTAAATATGATTTTTAAAGTGCTTTGCAAAGGTGTCAAATGAATAATGATATTATTAAAAATACTTCAGTAACTTTGGAAATATTTCTTCATACCAATACATTAATGAGAAACAAAAAATGTATGTTTCTTTACAGATTCTAGCTATAACAGAATAGAAAAAAAAATCGCAATGGTTTAATTTACTGTCCTAATATTGCATGGTTTACTCAACAGAATGATTTCATCTTATTTTTCAGGTATGCTAAAGGCTACCCCCCTTACTCTCCATATATAGGAAGTTCTCCCACTTTTTGTCATCTCCTTCATGAAAAAATTCCAGTTTGCTGTCTAAGATTAGACAAGGTAAATGCTTTTTCTTTATGGATACCTGATGTATTCAATGCTATAACTAGTATGCAAAACTATAGTTTGAATATCTTAAATGTGTGCCCATTTTGGAAAAAAATATGTTTTTTTACAAAGGCATATAAGAAGAAGAAATAATCTTATGAATGTAAAGTGAAATTGAACTTAAAAAATCAGTTAATTTTATATATGTTAGAGACAACATGGCATAGACAAAGTTTGGATTTCAGTCAGGTTCTAGCCTCCTTGTTTCAGTTTCTTAATTTATAGAATGAGGAGGTTGCATTGGACATCATTTTAAAGGTATGCTAGGTCAGTTTTCTGTGAATGATTTTTTTTTTGGCTAGGCAATGGGGTTAAGTGACTTGCCCAAGGTCACACAGCTAGTAAGTGTTATGTGTCTGAGGCTGGATTTAAACTCAGGTCCTCCTGAATCCAGGGCTGGTGCTCTATCCACTGCACCACCTAGCTGCCCCTCTGTGAATGATTTTAAACTTTTTCTTGATGCTATGTGGAATCCCCTAAATTTTTGCTACTCTCACCAAATAGAAAGGTTAAGATTATTTTTTCTCTTGCTGATGCCAGTCAACAACTTCTTAACTCTAACTCATATGTATATATGCATTTGTTTTACAAACCTTAAAGATTGTAAAATGCTTTTCTCAAAACAACCCTTTGGTGTTCTAAATACGATCATCATCTCCTCTTTACATATAAGAAAACTGGAGTTTAGAGATACTTGTCCAAGGTCAGCAGATAATCAATATCGAGCTAAGACTCAAACCCAAGTCTTTCTTAATTCCTCAGACCAGTGCTCTTTGCAGTACGTTAGGCAGTCTTTCCATTCTTTACCTTGCCATTGAAACATATTAACATTCTTGAGGGTCACAGTAAACTAGGACATTCTAGCAAAGGAAATATGTCAAGTCGCTCAGTTCTTAAAGTTTCCAGTTTATTGTGAAAGGAACCATATATTCAGACTTTCACGATGTTTCTGTTTCATAACAGCAGGTCATGTGGTTTCCCAACTTTTAGTTTCAGAAGCATTAATCTTGAATAATGATTTTAATAGCATAATTTAAAATGCACATTATGTTTTACAGTTCCTTCTAATCTTGTTTCTACACAAATGTTTAACATGCTTATTTTCCCCTTCTTTGTGGGAATTAAAAATATTTCTCAACTGTAGGTGGGAATTAGAGGCTAGTGGATCAGTCTGAGTCTAAGGAATATTCTTTCTTCCTACCAGATTCTCAAATGATAGAACCTGTGCTTGGTTGGAGCTATAGAGTCATTAGGCTTCCTCTGGTAGATAAATAATAACAGCTCCTGAAATTCCAATGGCCCTTGAACAAATAAAATTTCTTTGTTTTCTTTTTTTTTTAAGAAGTATTAAAAAAGTTAATACTCCTTTATCCAATATAGTGCAGATTGTCATATGAAACTACTGATCTCTTACTTGCAACTTGCCTTTGCTTTTAAGTAGTTAATGAAATCAACATGTAACTTTTTCTTCCTGCTTTTTGGTGAGGCCATTGGGGTGAAGTGACTTGCCCAGAGTCACATAGCTAGTAAGTGCCAAGTATCTGAGGATGGATTTGAACTTAGGTCCTCCTGACTTTAGGGCCGGTGCTCTATCCACTGCGCCACCTAGCTGCCCCAACATGTAACTTTTAAAGTTGCCCTGCTTTTGTTGATAAATCAAAATAAATTAATAAAAGGAAAAAAAGCTGCCCTGCTTGTCAGATTCTAATTTGCCTTTGGTGCATTTTTATAAAATGCTTCAGTTACCCAATTTTTTCTTTTTTTTTCTTTGTTTTTGGTAACCATATTGTAAACATACTCCTTCTCACACCTCTTTCCCATTAAGAAAGAAAGAAATGAAGAAATGAAGGAAGAAACAAAATGAAAACCCATGTAACAAATACGCACTTTTAAACAAAATGGATCCCCACGTTGGCTATGTCTAAAAATGACTGTCTCGTTTTTCACCTTGAGTCCATCACCTCTCTATTGGGAGGTTGCATTAGATTGCATAGATCTGAGTTCCTAAGCCTTCCAATGTTTTTCTTTGCAATATTGTTGTTGAACAAATATATATAATTTTGGTAATGATAAATGAAAAAAAATTAGTTAGAATGAAGAGGCCATCAAGGAGCCACCAAGATGAGTCACTCTGATTGATCCGTCCTATCTACACTTTACCTTATCACAGCCCTTTTAAAATCTCAAAGAGCTGAGCACAAAGACATTTTGGGAAAAGTTGCGGACATGACAGGTCTAGAAATATGCCTAGTTTTGTTTGATTTTTTAGCTATTTCTGTACTTAACTATTTAATTCTCATATGTCAGCAGAGAAATTCATAAATCATAGATTAATTAATTGATTGAAGTAATTATACTAGGTCTGAGAATTCAAAGATAGGTATGACTCAAGCTCTGCTCATAAGGAACTTAAAATTTAAAGAGGTCCAACAAGAAATTGGAGAAGAGAGAAAGAAGTTCACCTAGGAAGGCCAGAGAAGAAGTCTTGGAGGGTGTGGTTTCTGTGTTAGGCACAGAAGAAAGAGATGGTATCAACAGAAGTAAGTATATAAGGCTAAGTTAATGGAGGGAGAGGGAGGAGGAAGTACTTTCTGGGTATAGGTAATAGTGTGAGCAGCAAAGACATGGATATAGAATAAGGTAGGATGAAAACAGTAGACTGAGACTATTTCTATTTTGGCTGGATTCATCCCTCAGGTTCCCTCCTCATCTGAATATAGGGCAGTTTAGGAAAGAACCGTTCTTATTTTTTAGAGATACATTGTTGGGAACTAGGGAAACAAGAAGGAAGAAACTAGTTGTAAGCATTGTCTTTGTGCTGAATATTTACATTGTAGATACAGTAAATATAGATTATTGCATGAAATTATTCTTAAAATATGAAATTCTACTTATTTCAAAGCTAAAAAGTTTTTGATTAAATATTTCAATAATTAAATAAGGATATATAACTTTAAATAAAATAGCTTACATGGGATAAAAATCTTAGGAATTATGATTAAATAATGACTAATGGAAAACAATGAAAGTCCTTCTAGAAATGTTATCTAAGGAGTATCTCTCATTAAAATATTAATTTTAAAGAAGTCAGTGTCCTACAGAATGAGTTGGAACTATTATTAAAGACTCTCTCAGATTGTCAAAAATGATTTATTTCATTATCTTACTTTTAACAAGTTTTAAAGACTTAAAAACCCACCAAACCATACTAACATGCTTTTATAAATGTATTTAAGAGCTCTTTGAGATTGATTTATATCAACATACAGATTCAGTGCCTAACAGTGCTCAGCATGTAGTAGGAACTCACTGTTAGTAGACTAACACTGTAGATATATGATTTAATTATAATAATATTAACACAGTTAATAGATCCATATTCATTATTTATTCTGGAATATGTTTTATGACTAAGTCACAGAACACAGTACTCTTGGGAAAATTGCCAATGGGAAGGGAGAAATATATAGGGGTCATGAATAAGCAGGAACACGTTCCAAACAAGAGCAGGAAAAGATATATTAAGGATGTCATTTAAAAAATATGAATGAAAAAGAACCTCAGTGATCCATATGGCAAGAGTAAAGGATGAACAATGGACAGCCTGAGTGTTTAGTTATTTCCTGACAATGTCAAGATAAGTCAGGGAATAGGGCGCTATCAGATTTTGAAGGGATTTCCTGTGACTACCTTAGTAGAGGGAATGGATGAAAGTTGCATAGGGTGATAGCCAGGGATGGATGGGTTATGATTTGCATGGCTGGAGGGGAGTGCCAATACTAATGACATAATAGATTCATTTGAGTATACTGAATAAAATAGGATTCAAAATTTTAATGGAATACACTTTAAATACAGAACTACAAATTCTCAAACACAAGTTTCATTAATTTGACATTGTTTATATAAGTGTTTTATATAAGAAAGGAAATTTTTTTCTGTGAAACAAAAAGAACAAATCATTCTTACAATAATGATATTTTAAAAATATAACTTTATTGAATCCATTTCATTTTTGTGAAAAAAAGTTTAGGCTTCAGATAAAATAAGCTGATGTATGTTGGAAAATATGACTGAAAACTTTTCATTTGGGCTTAATAGAATTTGCATAAATCACCACATATTAACAATACCTCCCAGTAATTCCATAGATCTATGATTTTATTGATTTGGCTACTTTGTCTGTTGGTTGTATTGGTGTATATTCTAACCCATCTATGCTTAAAGGGATAGCAAAATCCAGTTTCACAGAATCATACAAAGGAGATGAGATTTGTTTTCCTGTGTCCTGCATTAATGGGGCTGAAAAAATAGCCCTGAAAAACATTGGACTATTAAAAAAATTTATTTCAACATTCTCCACTATTTACAATTCACTGTTCATAATGGTATCCACAATGCTGTTTTTAAAGTACTTAATGTGTTCAGGGTTCTATAAAATCCTGTTACTATGAACAAGAGATTTTCTTTTCTTCTTTGTGTAAAGCTCTGGAAAGTTTTCCTCTATATGGTTAACAGGGGATGATAAAGAACACAATGCATTTGGAAATGCAAAACTTAGCTGTCTGACCATTTAATTTCTCTATGTCTCAGTTTCTTTATCTTTAAAAAATGGAGGCAATACTCCAGTAGTTTTTTAAAAGAAAACATTCATTTTTTGAGCTCCAAATCCTCTCTGTCCCTCAAGCCCCTCCCCAACATATTGAAAAGGAAAGCATTATGATATCAATTACACATGTAAAATCATGCAAAACATATTTCCATATTAGCTATGTTGCAAAAAAAGCAAGAAAAATACTGTGAAAAACAATATGTTTCAATATGCATTCAGAATTCATCATTTCTCTCATTGGAGATGGATAGCATTTTCCATCATGAGTCCTTTGGGATTGTCTTGAAGTATTGTATTGATTAGAATAGCTAAGTCTTTCACAATTGATCGTCCTTATGATATTGCTGTTTCTGCGTACAATGTTTTCCTGGTTTTGCTAACTTTACTGTGCATCAGTTCATATAAGTCGTTCCAGGTTTTTTCTGAAACTATCCTGCTTGTCATTTCTTTTCACAGTTGTATTCCATCACAACCATATACCGCAATTTGTTTAGCCATTCCTCAGATGGGAATCCTCTCCATTTCCAATTCTTTACCACCAAAAAAGGAGCTTCTATAAATATTTTTGTAAATATAAGTTCTTTTCTCTTTGATCTCTTTGGGATCCAGACCTAGTAGAAGTATTTCTGAGTTAAAGGACATTTTTGAGTTTTAAAGCCCTTTGGTCATAGTTCCAAAATATTCTCCAGAATAGTTGAACCCGCTTACAACTCTACCAGCAGCATATTAGTGTACCTCTTTTTCCATACCCCTTTCAGCATTTTCCTTTTCTGTTACGTTAGCCAGTCTGATAGGTATGAGATGGTACCTGAGAGTTACTTTAATTTGCATTTCTGTATTATTAGTGACTTAAGGCATTTCTTTTTCATATGACTGTCAATAACTGTAATTTCTTCTTATGAAAGCTGACTGTTCATATCCTTTGACCATTTATCAATTGGGAATGGCTCTTATTTTTATAAATTTGCCTCAGTTCCATATGTATTTGAAAAATGAAGCCTTTATCAGAGGGTGTGAATTTCCCCAAAGTTTCCTTTCACTAGCTTATTCATTGGGATTATCTGTTCATGAATACACTAAAGCCATCTTAATTGTTAGTAAATAATAGTATATTTTACATGAATGTGGTAGTTTTAAAAAACATTTTGCCATGACTATATGCATAAATCTTCTATTTTATTTCACATAAATTTTTGTACCAAGTTCCAGTATTACTTCAGAATTGTATTTTGTCTGTTTTTTCTTCTAGAGTTGCCAACATAACTATTATGAGGATGCAAAAGCTTATGGATTCAAAAATAAGCTAATTATTGTTGCAGCTGAAACTGCTGGAAATGGATTGTATAATTTTATTGTTCCTCTCAGGGCATATTATAGACCAAAGAAAGAACTTAATCCCATAGTCTTGCTATTGGATAATCCGTAAGTATGCTTTAAAATATGTTAACAGCAGAAGTTTTTATTAAATTGTGTTATGTGCATTACTAGTATTTTATTATCATTTGCATGAACTATTTTAAATCAAAACATTATGGCACATGATTCTTTGGGAAGTACATGCTGTGCTACTTTACACATGAAAGAATATTGTATATAGCATCAATGAATTACTTAGAACATTTATTAATGGGCAATTAGCAAATGACCATCATCATGCAGAAACAACAGGAAGCACATGGCTGAGAAAATAATTACAGTAATTTTCATTAAATTAATCAACTAGCCCAGAAAATCTCTGCAGAAACTGGAAATTTTGTCCTCTTACTAGAGAACCATTAATTAGTGAAGACACACAATAACGTTCCATTCTTCTTTTAGACCATAGTCTCTGAGGCATCATCTTAAGTAAATAGTTACAATTAAATCACTGTTAATAAAACAAGAAATGTAAATTTCATAATGTGGGTTCCTTAATTTTTATTACATTACATTATTCAGAAATGTTAAATGGTTCCCTAAAATGACATGGTACACCAATTTAGATTCATGTGTAAATTCAAATCCATCCCATTCCCTTGATATCCCTCAGAATACTCCTAATTCCACTAAATTTGGAGAATTAAATGTTTGAGTGTTTTTGTCTCTCTAGTAGTAATACTTTTGGCTAAGTAGTTTTGAAAGCTGGTTTCTTCATTTTGACAGTATACACAGACCAAATTAGGAGAATCACAGTAACATGAGGTCAGATTTGCCTTCAAATGGAGGATTAGTTGCCTCCCTTCACAGAAAGTAGAAGATATGATCAGGTTAACTTGGTTAACCCCTGATGAGGGGTTTGGAGAGTCTTACTAGGGGGCTTACTTCATACTTCTTCTAGGCTGCATGAATTGTTGGGGGTCAGGAGAGAGCACCAGGTCTCTAATATTGTCAAATTAGTGGGTTTTAGATTTATGTAGTTTGAAGAGAAATACGTTAGGTTTGTCTTGAGAAGCAAGAGGTGATAATGAAAAAGAGGTGAGAATCAGGACCCAGGAATATGTTTGGGCATATTTTCTTTAAGGCAAGCTCCAAATAAGAAATAATTTGAACCAAGACAAAGCAAGAAACAAAACAACTTTATTAAAAGATTTTTGAAATGGTAGAGAAGAAACAAAAAGTAGAGAATAAATATTGTCCAATCTACATTACTACCTTGTTAAATATAACATGTATGTTTTTTCTAAAAAACTATGTTACAGAAGTTCAACTTGTTATAAAAATATCCTTCTTGTTCTTTGTACATTAAAATGTTTGTGTTTGGTGAGGATTATTAGATTAACAATTTTTGAAGGGCTAGGACAGTTTATCTACTGACAAGAGGTTATGTGTGAACCACAACACTTTGACCTGCTGAGGTGACATCACTTTTCTGCCTCTCTTGGGGTCTTAAAGTACTTTTACTTCTCTAGCTAAGACCAAAGGACTTGGGTTCAATTTATGATTATTACTTAGTGTCTATGTGATCTTAGGCATTAACCTTGCCAGGCCTCAGGTTCCTCATTTGTAAAATTGGGAATGGGGTGGGGTTACACCAGATGACCTTGATGGCCCTTCAGGATCTCAACCATTGATCCTATGATCATTACCTCCTGAGAGGACCCTTGTAGGAAAATGAGAGGAGAAGGAAGCCAAACAGTGGTTGCCTATTCCCATCTAGCCTGAGAGGATGCTAGGGGTACTCCCCCAGGTCCTTCTGCCTCTTCTCTCCTCTTATGGGTGACAGAATGGTTTGTGCCTACTTTTATAATTGTAGAGCACAAGCTTTCTACCTACCTACCTACCTATCTGATTCCCTAGAGTTAGAAGTTAGTTCATTCTGGGCAACAGAGAAAAACATCCTGACACCTTAGTCATCTGTCAGATTCCACCTGAGTGTGCACATTCTCCCTAAAGAGTATCCTATTCTCTGTTGAGGAGACCTGGATTCTGGGATGAGGTTTCAAAGGGATAGGCCATGGGTTATATCAGCCGTTAATAGCTAACAAAAGGTCTATGTGACAAGGATGAGCTTAGCATAGTACCTGGCACATAGCAGGTGCTTTATAGATGCTTGTTTACTTGATTTAAAAGCTGAAGGCATGATATCCCAAAGCAGTGGTAGAGCCCAGTTTGAGATTTCTGCAGTAGATTTCCTTGACAAAGTAGTTTGGAGGTTCATCTTTCCAGAATTTTTTTCTAAATCCTCAAATCCATGTATGAGCAGCCAGGGTTTCTGTCAGTTACTTTTCTATTTTGGTCCAACAATCAGTCCTTCCTCTTGGTCTTTCTGGCCATAACTTTCTGTGGCCATCTTACTCCAGATTTACTGATCATAGAAGAGAAGAAATGCTCTTGCCTAGTGGCTCCATACGTTATCCATCCATCCATCCATCCATCCATCCATCCATCCATCCATCCATCCATCTATCTATCTATCTATCTATCTATCTATCTATCTATCTATCTATCTATCTATCTATCTATCTCTACAAACACACACACACACAAACATACACATGCGCGCCCCCCCCCACACCCCTGTCTTGCTAATCTGTTTCCCCTTGGAATTCAAACCTTTTGTCTTCATTTGCTTCCTTTTGATGCTCTGTTTTCTGGAAATACACTTCCTTTCTTGATTTTGACTTATTCTCTCCATTTCTTTTTGGTCTATGGAAACCATCTTAGCAAATTATAGTCATTGTAGACTAATCTTCCACAGATCTACCAAAGTGTTCTCCCTAAAATGCTGGTCTGACTCTGCTACCCCATCCAGTTCCCCAACCCACAATAAATTCTAGTGCTTCATTATTACCTATAGGATCAAGTATAAGCTATTATGTTTAAAATGTAAGGCTCTTCACATCCTGATCCCCTTATTCTACCTTTATTACATGTTACTCCTCTATGCAGCCTTCTTGCTGTTATACACAACACTAAATTTTCTTTCTCACTGGCTTTGCACTGGCTTTCCCCCATGCTCCTAATAGATTCCCTCCTCATTTTCACCTCTTGGAATCCTAGGTTTACTTCAACATAGTTCAAGTGGTATCTCCTGCATAGACCTTCCTGGTACTTGCAGGTGTTAGGGCCACTCTCTACACATGCTTGATTACCTTGCATATATTCTAAATATGCTTTTTTATGTGAATGTGATCTGCCCCCTGCAACTGGGGACTTTTTAACTTTTGTTCCTGTATCCCTGGTGCCTAATAATGATTTATTATGTGCTAGGCACATAGTAGTCCCTTAATAAATGTATAACAAATGTATATTGATTGAGTGATTTGTAGTTGAATTGCTTTACTACTTGCCTCTCTGGACAGAAGGACATAAAGGCATAATAGAGCATAATGACTTAAAATTAGTTGTCTAGGTATGTATTAACCAGTCCAAGATACTGGCTTTCCCAGTAACATTTATTCATTATGGTCTCCTCCCCTCTGGCATCCTAGGCACTACCAAAAAATGATAGGAATAAAACCAATCCCATTTCACATGAAGGAGAATAGAAGAGAAAAATAAAGTTTTGGTGCATCATAGAGTGAAGGGATGGAAATTCAGTGGATACTCCCAGGTCTGATCCTAAAAATAACTGGCATGGAAGCTTTAAGTTGGGTGTTCTCTCCTTAGGTAGCCAGGTAGTTCTGCTCTTATGGAATCATCATATTAAGACCATACATAGAGCAGACATTTGATCATCTTTAGACCAACTGAAACTCAGAAGTCCAAAACTCAAGTGATCCTCCAGCTTCAGTCTTCCCTCATGGGTATGAGCCACAATGCCTGGCTGGTACATATTTTTTTTGTACTTTAATCCTGACCCTTATACTTATGGGTTTCAATTTACATGCATCCCCTCAAGTGTTTTTGTTCTACTTATGTCACCCTTTTGGGTTCCTGTGTTCTCTAATTTCACTTCATCTCAGCTGTAGACAGTGATGGGCATACTTTTAACCTCATTACTGCCTCTGATTGTTCTGCCTTTTCATTCCATGAGTCTGAAATATCTTTATATAACCCATCAACTCGGGTTTTATATATCTATATCTATATCGATATCAATATCTATATCTATATCTATATCGATATCTATATATCTATATCCTTCCATATATCCCTATACATCATTCTTCTCTCCTCACTAGAGAGTGATTCCTCTATTCTCTGCTTTACTAGTCCATTATCTCTTTTCTAGCCTCATTTTCCTTCCTTCAAAATCGTTACCCAATAATCAAATCAACTTTATACATTTCTCTAATCTTAAATATCTTGCTTCCTTGTCCTATTGATATACACACCTTTCTAAATGCATACCTTGAGTTATTCCTCCCATCTCCCTTTTTTACTCTCACTCATGTGTTGCTGAATGCTGCTGGAGAAAGCTATACAATTATGTTGACTCAATCTATTTCACTTTTTCGTTTTCTGATTTTACTTGAGCCTTCATTGTTTCAAGCTAGTGATCATTTTTCACTCATCCCTGATTAACCATCTATCAAAATCTGCACACCATTGGTTCTAAACCTTGTATTCTCTTCCATAGCCATCTTCATCCTCTCTCTAAGCAGAGGACTTTGTCTCATATTATCTCCTCTCCATTTCTATTCCTTATATCTCCTCAGAATCATTCTATATTGTCTCTTCTATTTTTTTTCAGTCTCAGAGGAAAAGGTAACCCAGATTCTAGTGCAAAGTCAATCCCTTCGCTTGTGAACTTGAACCCATTCCCTCCCATTTTCTCCTAGCATCTGGTCCCTTTAATCATCCCCTCTAATTTTTAACATCATTTTATCAACTGTCTCTTTCCAAGGTTCCTAAAAAAAGTTTATATCTCTTTAGACCTTAAAAGATTATTTCAGGAGTTTCTCAATCATTTTTCTTAAATTTTACCTTTCTTTTGCAGTTTTTTTAGGAAGGTAGTCTATTCCAATTGCCTCTAGTTTCATACATCCCATTGACTTCTTTTCTGTTAGTTATGCTGATAACTTTTTTTTGTTTTTATACCATAGCTAATATGAAATATAGTATTTACCAGCGACCCTTCCTCTGTATTGAAAGAAAAAAAGGTATTTTGAAAAACAATTTTTGCTACTTCCCCAAATTTACTAAAGTATGAATAACTTTGGACCCAGCTGTACCACTAGTAGATCTATATATCAAAGAAATGTTCAAACTTTTATAGCAACCTAACAGAGTCCCTGATATTTTGGGAATGGCAAAATATGATATGTTAATGTACATATATAATATTGTGCTATAAGAAATAATGAAAGGAATGGTTTCAGAGAAATCTAGGAAGATTCATATGAACTGATCCATAGTAAATTCATCATAATCAGAACAATTTATACAGTAATAGCAACATTATAAAGACAAATAACTTGAAAAGAATTAAGAAGTTTGATCACTGTAATACCAATCATATTCCATTGTGCTCATGGAAAACGTGCTGCCTACCCCCTGACAGAGGGGTGATGGACTCAGGATTCAGTATATATAGATGTGTATATAAATATACATAGGGGTGTGTGTGTGTGTGTGTATATGTATATATGTATATACATACACACACACACACACACACACACACACACACACACACACACACATATATATATATATATATATATATATATATATATATATATATTGTACTTGGCCAACGTAGAATTAGTTTTGTTTGACCATATTTACTAAAAACTTCTCCCCCAATGGAAGGTTGTGGGAAGGAGAGAAAATAAATTTTTCTTCATTGAAAAAAATTCAGTTAAAAAGATAAAAATAAAATCATAGGATTAGATAGAAATATGCTCATTCTGAGAATACGAAGGTCTTTCTACTACATTATATTGTCATATTTATAAAACATCAACATTTAAAAGAATATTTCATGATCTTTTAGTTTTGCTGAAAAAAATGCTTATACTTTGTGTCTTCCTTGATGCAAATGGCAGTCCTCCTCTTCATTATTATCCTGAATAATTCTTAATCATGTCTTTTAATAAATATTCTAGAAACTATCCAATACCTTGAAGTTTCTTTTTTTTTCTTTTAATCTCTAAGTCCTACTAACCAAGCACTTCTATTTCACGTGTTTTGTCTGTCATTGTAATCATTTTCACTTAATTACTAGACTGATTCATTTTCCAGACAAAGTCTTCAGTAATGGATTTTCAAAATTTTCTCACCCAAGTTATCATTTACACTGCAATGTAATTATGTTCATTAAGAATTTTTCCATTGTCCTTTAGCAGAATTTTAATATTAAAGGGAGGAGAATAGATAGTCTAGAACTATCATTTGTTTGGTATAGGGAAGAGATGACTTCTATATTACCTTTAAGTTCTAAATGTATAATCTTGGGTCTGATTCTAATTAATTACTCTGACTGGTGAAGATTACCTGGTATAATAGATAGAGTTCAGAAACTGAAGTCAGAAAGGCCTGGGTTCAAATCTCACTTCTCTCTCAAGTACAAATCACTTAATTCCTGTTCTCTTTTTTTCCTTTCCTTTTTGTCAAATGTTTATTTATTAAAAGTCCTTTACTTTCCTCTGTGGCTCTTGACTATCTGGGTATAACACAACATCATTATTTGTATCATCAATGACATCACACATATGTTTGCCATTGATGTTGTAGCCTGCAACCTGGGCTATTCCAACCATCATTGTTATTGTTCCATCTAGGTCTCTTGCCAGAGTTTAGCTCCTTATCTGTCAAGCAATGCTGGTAATCTTGTTGAGGTTGACATTGCTACCATGTTTAATATTTTTCATATCCCTGTGGTTATTTCAAGGCTTTACTGATAAAATGATAATAATAAGGTACTGCTTTGATCTGAGCCTATCTATTCTGAATACTAGCATCTCTCTTGGACTCACTTATCTACTAAGTTCTAGGTAGGTTGACTCTAGTAGTGAAGGAGGGATTTCACACTCTGATAAAAGCCCAGATCCTTCTTAGACTGTTATTTTGTCAGATCTTCTATGATATCACATCATAATATAGTGCTTTCCTCTCAAGAGTATTGTCATTATTTCAGTGATTTTGCATAAAAATTACTTTTGGTCCACTTTTGAAACGACCAATTCATGACCAAACTAAAGTGCCTAGAAATACCTTCTCAGTATGAGGTTACTTCAAAGATTAAAAAGTAGTAATGTAAAATAATTGCAAGAAAGGAGAATTTAATTTATTTTCAGGACAGAGAGAATGAGAATAAGTATTTGCATGCTTATAGAATATACTCTATGTCAGGCACTGTGTTAAGAACTTTAAAAATATCTCATTTGATTTTTAAAGGAGTGATTGTAATACTTTTACATGTGAATAATACTAATAAGAATAATAAGAAAGTATTTCAAGATAGAGTCACCACTGGATCTGATTTATTGGAGAGAGAGGTAACTCATTCATAATGATCATCTGTGAGCACAAATCAATGTGACAAAATCTTTACATTTGTAAAGTCCTCAAGAGACCTTATAGAGATCATGTATTCCAATAGCCCGTTGCTTTATAGGTGAGGACTCCATAGCATAAATAATCCAAATGAATGTATGCAAGGTCAAAAAGCAAAATTGCATCAGAACTAGGACTAGAAGATAGCTTTCCTGACTCTATGGTCACTGCTTTGTTACCATTATGCCTTTCCTTCAAAAAAAAATAACTCTTGAATAGAGTAAAATCATATGCATATATGCAAAATTTACATTGTCAACTTAAAATCACTTCTTCAAGGATAATATAAAGATAAGTGTCAGCTCAGGCCAGAAGAAGAGAAATGGTCAAAATTCTAAGTTTCCGAAGACCATCTCAAAGAAATATCTTTTATACTGTTTCAATGATTCTGTATCCTTTGATGGATGGTGTTGGTGATTTGTGAAAATTTAATATGTGTGTGTATCAACAGAATAAAGACAGGTTAGTGTTAATTCACATCAAATTTCACATGGAATAAATGCACTCTCCCCATTTCCCTCCCCCCCCTCCTGAATTATCATAGTGAAGGGAAAGAGCTAATGCTAATTAGTTAAATCATGTACATTATGTGTATTAGATTATACATGTAATTTTAAAACATGCACACATATATATTGCTATACACATAAAGAACATACACAGTTTACTTGCTTGCAGTTGCCTATAAAAGTCTCTCTCTCCCCCATTAATGTTACACTTAAGGAAAAGGCTCCTATGGGAAATTTTACCCTCAATAGGCTTATAGCGTTAGATTTGAAAGGAACTTTAGAGGTCATCTGGTCCAATCTCTTCATTTTACAGTTGAGGAAACTGATTCCCACAGGGGTTAAGGAAGTTGCTCAAAGAACCACAGGTAGAAAGTGACATAGCCAGGATTTGAATGTATGTATACATGTATGTATGTATGTATGTATGTATGTATGTATGTATGGGTCTTTCTCTATTTACTTAGATAAGTGAATGTATAAGAAGTTATTTATCTCATTTGTCTCCATCTGTCTAGATTTCACTGTGTACTGATTGGGAAACAGTGATTCAGATAGGGCTTAATTCTAACATTATCATGATCATCAATCAAAGACTCTAGTATATTATCAATACAAGATATATATTTAATATTATATGACAATCTGTTAGATATATTGTGGTGATCCTTTTAATTAGACTGAATTATAATAAAAAAAAGAAACTTATTATAGATATAAGAATGCATCTATCCTTGTTTTGGGTTTTTTTAAGTTTTATAAAGAATGAATCTAAAAGTGGAAATTAATAATATAAACAAGAGTGCCCTCTGCTGTTTTAATCAGAATAGTGTGTGTATATACACGTAAATACACACATATGTATGTATGTGCATCAATCTATTCTCTAGATATACACATTACCCTGCTTATATAAACAGTATACATATATAGATGCATGTATCTACATATATCACTATTTTTTGTTTAGTAAATATTATGTTTATTTTTGTAAGTAATATAATTACTTCCTATCTCAAAATTAATTCTAAAGTTTAATGTATTATTTCATTGTTGAGCTTAATATTAATAGTTAGCAAATTGCTTTTGTGAGAGAATTGTTACCACTTCACCAAGTTAGGCCGTACAACCTGTGCAAAGGAATAATTGAATTTATAGTTCTTACCTACTTTCCTTCAGCATTTCAATATTGCTAATGGATTGATAACATATCTTTTTATTTACTTGAGAATATAAATGTTTCTCATTGGTAACTATGAATTATAAATATGCAAATATACACACATATTTCAAAAGTTATCCATTCATATTAAATAGCCAGATTTTCACTTTGCATAATTCTTCTATGGGAAAGCACTCTTTAGATTAACTTAAGATGCAAATATAGCCTGAATTTTAGTGATTTTGTGAGTGGGAAGTCATTAGTTCAGTATCTTCTTACATGAACTTATTCAGGACTAATTGTTTCCCCATTGATGTCACTTTATTAATCATCAGGTAGATTTTATCATCAAAGTCTTTTTATAGGATTGTGCCATCTTGTTTCTGTTTTAGAAGGTTCAAAAACTTTTTTTTATATTTTCAAGTGCATTTTATTTTTGCTCATTCTTTATGACAAGTACAATATACAGTTTCTGTTGTAAGATAAAATCATAAACTGCTTTATTCTCTTAAAAATAAATTTGGTCATCAGTGACCACTTTTGTCAATGTAAACTAAGCCAATTTTACTAGGTTTCCTTCAAAGTGCTGCAACTGTTGTGATGTTGTGTTTCATTTTGTAACCCATCTGTTACGTAGGCCAGATATGCATTTTCTGGATGCCATCTGTTGGTTTCCAATGGTTTACTACATGGTGGGCTCTATTGACAAGTAGGTGACGTAATCCTTGGCACACTAAACATTGTAGTGTTCTGTGGTTTGTTGTATGCTGTGTTTTGTATCTGCATGATTAGTGTATGGTGCAATGCCAGTATTTCAAAGGTGGTACACTTTGCATGGATAGATACATGTTCTTGTATTTTAGTTCTTGGATTTAAAATTCCTGCCCAGAATCCTGCCATCAACAATAAAATAAAATAATCTGTTGCATGCCCAGTTTTGCTCAATTTTGAAAGCTTGCTTCAGTGTTGTATTTTTGGCTGAACTAAATCCTGGGAATTTTTATAGTACTGATATCATTAGTGTCAACAATATATATCATACAGTGATGGGGAAAATAAAAATTCTTGAGATTTCTATATTGCATTTAATAGAATCATCTGAAATTTCACAGATTCTGCAAATACTTTTATCTAGTAATAGTATTCAAAGGAAAAAAAGTTAAAAATAAAAAAATACTGTTTTTTTTAAGTTACAATAGTAAGAAATCCCTAAAGTAGTAGCATTTCCTCTAATATTTATTGTAATTTCATAATTCCTACATCACAGAAGCTGAAATTTCCAAAGGTTAAACTATTTCTTAAATAAACTATAATAATATGTCTTGTGATGTGCTAGTGTTAAAATGCAATTACTTATGAGTTCACTTTTAAAAATTCAAAAGGTGAAGTTACCATTAAATGTGTAATCATGTAAAAAAATCTTTTCTCTATTGTAATCTTAGTTTAGAGGCCTTTCTGAATTAAAAAAAAAACAAAACTTTTGCATTTTACTTTTGATTGTTTCATGGCTGCTTGAGTCCTTTACATGTGTGGGGAATGTATCATTCAACTTTAAAACTCTTGAATTTATTAATTCCATGATTAATGTTTTATCAGTTACTATTTTTTCCTGGAAATTGGAAGGTGTCTATTTACTTCTGGGTGAATTTAAATCCATGCATAAGCCAAAAGATCATTTTTTCATTGTGTTCATACCATTTACACCATAATACATTGCCTTATTAAGAACTTATTCAAAATTATAAAAGCATTAAAACTTAAACATATGCATTATTACTTATAAAGAATATATCCCCAAATCTCATCTTAAAAGAAAAAAATAGCTATTTTTTCAAAGATGCTTTGATAGTTTTCCTCTGTAATTTTATAAGGAGTAAAGAAACTAAAAAAGACAATGAATCAATGTTGTTTCTTTTTGTTATTTATATTGTGGAATACAATGACATTTTTCTCATTCCATAGGATCAGGGATGCAGATCAGAAGGTTGTGGGTTTTTTTTTTTTGTAAAAGCCATTAAGGTAGAGGATCAAATCTTTCTATGCATACATTTATGCATATGCACACATATACACAAAGTTATAACCTCCACCTCCCCCTTGAAAGGGAATAGATTGGGTTAGGTCAGGGAAGGATGTTACAGAACCCATAACATTGGGTTATGTAAAGAAGGCTAACCTGAGTGTCTGCGTGTGATTGACTTTTTTCCCTGTCAAGCAATTTATAATGTTATATCATTGAATGTCACAAAATTCCATACTTGGAAAAGGCCTTATGGTTATATGGTCAAAGCTATCCAAATTGCTCTAGAAAAGCATATGGAAGAACATCAGCATTTCTCCCTATTGCAACCAGCTGAGATAAAGTGCTAGTACTAATAAGTATTGCCTTTTTAAAAAGATTTAATTTAATTTAAATTTAAAAAGATTCTTCTCCAGTTTCAGAGAAAACCAGGCAAAGTAAATCTATATAGGCAAGGGGAGTTAGCTCCTTCTTCAAGAAAGACAATAGAATCATGAAGAAATACTCAGAAACCAGTTATTTAGAGGTTGTGACACATCAACACATAAATAGAAATAGCCTACTTAATGGTTAAAAATTTAATAACTCATTAAACAAATGTGTATTAAGTATCTTTTATTTTCAACTCATTGTGCCAGGTACTGATTATTTGCTTCTATTCATTCATCATCTTTTCAAATGTTATTTAATTAGAATATCTAAAACCCTTAGCCCTAATTCTGACTAAAGCATATGTACCATTCAAATTGAGAATTATTTCATACATTTGGGCATTGTTATTCATTTCTTAACATAAGAACTCATTTTGCCCTACAAAAATTTTCACCATAATAATTATTTTTGTACCTTTTGCTGAAAATTTTGATCTGTTGTTACTAGGGAGTGATATAGTAATAGATGTTGACATAGGAGAAATTACCATTTTCACCTCATACCATATTTATCAATAAATGTTTAAAAGAATGAATGTATCTCAGCTACTCATTCAAATAGCCATTTTTGTTATGTTTATTCTTGTTAGTGTATTATTCCCCAGTCAGATTAAGATTTTAATGTATACTTATCTTTTTCTATCTTTTTGAATATGTTATATATGTTGAACACGATGTTGGAGAACAGTGTTGAAGGATGGTGAAATGACTTGAAAATTCAGTAAGGTGAATTGAAACCACTTTAGCAGTTTAAATATCATTTTCATGGTGAACAAATAACTATCACTTTCATATTCCATCTATCTTTTCCTACTTATTTATTTTGGTAGACTTATGGACATGTCTAAATTTTCTAGGTTAAGAAAAATGGATATTCCTAAGAAGTTAAAATTTCAGGTTTTCATATTGTGGAGTATTATGGTCCTGGCCCCTCTCTCCATAGCAGATTTATTTGGAATAACATTCTGTTTCCACAGTTTTAGCCATAAAATCCCTGCCACAGAACCTTGTTCCTGATTCAAGAGAAATATTTTTTCTGGACTACTCCTGGGGAACTTGGACCTAAAGCTTTGGTAATACCTACTCACCTTATAACAGAGTAAGAAATCCTGTGTCCCTGCATTTTCATGAAAGGAAAATGATCCCCAATAATAACATATGACTAACCCAACTAATCATATACTTGTAAAAGATATTCAAGGAGCTGCCACTTCAACTGATTACTCAAAAATAGCTTTCATTTTTATATATTCTATTTTGAATCAGAAGAGACAGCAAGACCCACCAATCCATCTCTCATCACATACCTTCAACAAACTTCATACTAAAGCAGTGATTTTACTTTCTAATCCAGTCATTCACTCTTGTATTTTACTCCTTCTGCTTGGTTTGTATGGAACAGAGGCAATGGAAGTATTATTTCCCCCATAGGGCTTTCATACTAGCAAGTCAATTTGAAATTAATAGAATATTAAGGTAAAAGATGAATTTGAAAGTGATAGAAGTGAGTATTGATTTCAGTATGTAGGCTACAGCAAATAAGAGTTTGTTCTATAGTCTCTATATAGCCAGATCCAGATGTTTAGGTTAAACAATTATTTTTGCTCATAATTTTCTTTTTTTTAAGACAATTAATTAACCCTTTGCATTTATTTATTTATTTTTAATGAGGCAATTGAGGTTAATTGACTTGCCCAGGGTCACACAGCTAGTAAGTGTCAAGTGTCTGAGGCTGGATTTAAACTCAGGTCCTCCTGACTCCAAGGCAGTAGCTCTATCCACTGCGCCACCTAGTTGCCCCTCATAATTTTCAAATTGGCTCTACTTATATATCAGAATATATGCATGAGACATATTACTACCCACTTGATAATAAGCCTGTCATAAGCCTATTCTGTGTCACTTGTGTAAATTGATATTCAAGAAAGGAACCATGTTTTACAAAATGAAAAAGGTATATTTTTTCTTCTTTTCTCTTCATCCCATCCAAGACATGTATTAATAATTTGTTTTTAATGTCCAAATATCTTTAAGAATAAAAAGTTGAAATGTTGCATCTATAAAATTACATTTTGTTTGCATAGTACAGCTCTACAATTTTTCAATTTCATTACTATTTTGTTGCAAATGCTTAGCATTTTTATTTTATCCATCCATATTGATCAACTTTTTAAAACGTATTTTTGAAAACCAGCAAGATAAAATTCAGATGTAATGTTACTTTCATCAAGATTATAATCCCTTCTACTTTGGTAACAACTAGAGAGTATCTCAGAAAAAAAAAATCAAATTTTAAGGTGGTTTAAAACTGCACTAAGACTTTTGGGACATGCTATATAATAGCTGGAATCTCATATAATTCTCTTGGTATATCTTCTGTGAAACTATTAACTCCTGTGCTTATAAGGACAACTGCATAGTAGCCAAAAGAAGCAATTAAAGTTGCCAGGATAAGCAAGTATTTTTATTTTGTTTTGTTTTATAAATTCATTCTAATGCTATATTATTTTTAAAAGTCCATTTCTATCTGTTCATTTTTACAAAAGCTTAGATGACTTGCTTAGGTGTGGAGTGACCTTTGCTGCTAACATGGTGGTTGTGGATAAAGAGAGTACTATGAGCGCAGAGGAAGACTACATGGCAGATGCCAAAACTATTGTAAATGTGCAAACTCTCTTCAGGTAAGTGTCAGAAAAATCAGATATTATCTTTTCCTAAGGTAGCTTGGGGGTAAAAAATATCAAGTCTTATACAGTTGTTTGTATATGAATGGTAAAGATGAGAAGTTAGCTTTCTGTTTTACTTAGCCACATCAGCTAACTGGACTATACAGAAAATGAAGCCACCACATTGTCCTTGCTAATTACTGTTCTCTCTGCATCCAAATACACACACACACACACACACACACACACACACACACACACACACACGCACACACGCACACATGCACACACACATACACACACAATTTTTATCAAGATAATTCTTTTGGCATCAGGAACAAATAGAGAGAATTTGAAAAGTCTTAATGCAATATATACATATACACACAAACACATACAAACATATATACATGTATTTATAGGCATACGTGTTTGTACATATTTTTAATTTAAATGCTATTTCAAATACTTTCAAACCAGAATTGAAGTTATCTAAGTTTTCTGTGGATCATTTTAGGAATCTTAATTTTCCTCCTCTGAACTTTGTCTTTCAGTGACAGGCAGTTTGAGACAAATTCCTTTTGCTAGCTGGAAAGATGATTATTACATCCTTTCATCTTTGCCTAAATATTGTCTTGAATATGTAGTAGGATTCTATTATATTGACAAATATAGTCAGCTAGCCACAAAAATCACAAAACTATAGACTTCAGCTTAGAAAATAAGAAGTCACAAAAATCTTCTGGCCTTAACTATTCTTGGCTAGTCACAATGTTGGGTGTATCTTATAAGGCAAATGGATATATACATTGATTTATAGTGTAATGAGGTAAATGATTGAGTAATCCTTGAAAGTAAAATCACTTATGTAGTAAATATAATAAAATTAAGAATAACCTAAGGATTGTGAAGCTATTTACAATGGTGATGATGGGTTTAGCCGAACCATTTGCTCAACATTGCCCTAAGACCAATTTCAACAAGAAGTGATATTATTGATAAGGTGGGTGACCAGAGTTAAAAATGCATCTTGATTTTAAAAAGATAACTGTTCTATACAAAGCATGTAGGTACAGTTTTCTTCTCTTTGCTAATTGCTGCACTCCTTGGAACAGACTTTATCCAAATACAGGCTTTGATTTAGTTTTCTCTTTGGTGGAATTATCAATCAACTTAAATTCCTTGTCTTAAAATTTCAATATCTAATTTATACATATATAATTACATCCAATTTATATGTAAATATATTTTAATGTTATATTTGTTTTTCTGAGTATTACCTTTTAAGTGTTTGAGATAAATATATGTTTTCTATCTCATGTGGTAGGCACAGTGGCAAAGCAGTTCTTCAAAACTTCATTCACCTTAGTCTTTATATAGAATCTTAGACTTGAAAATTATCTTAGAAATTATGTAATTGAATCTGCTAAGTGATGGAGAAAACTTCTCCACAATATACCTAACATGTAAGTATCTAGCTTCTGCTTGAATATTTCTATTGGCAGGCAACTCATTACCTCTCTAAGCAGCCTATCCCATTTTCCTTGAGTGGTATGTTCCTAGTCACTGTTAAATATGAAGCTTTTCCCCTTAAGCAACTGCAAAACACTAATCTGTAAAAATCCCAAATAGCAAATTGGTAGTGTTTAGAGAAATATTATTTCAGATCAATAGAATTTTGGTTTATACAAGTAGAATTTGGGTATATGAAAATGATGCTAATGACCTGCCATTAATAGGAAGTGTGAGGTATCTTCTTCTTTTTTATTATTTATTTATTTATTGTTATAGTATTTTATTTTCCCCAAGTTACATGTAAATAAAATTTTAACATTCATTTTTGCAAGTTTTGAGTTCCACTTTATTCTTTCCCCCTCCTTCCCCTCCGCTCTTCTGAAAATGGTAGTTTGATATAGTTTATACTTGTGCTATCATGTAAAAAATATTTCCATATTAGTCACAATTATGAAAGAAGAACCAGATTTAAAAAACACGAGAAACAACAAAGTGAAAATAAATGCTTCAATCTGCATTCAAAATCCATCAATTCTTTATCTGGTTATGGATAACATTTTCCTTTGTGAGTCTTTTGTACTTGTCTTGGATCATTGTGGTGCTGAGAAGAGATGAGTCATTCATAGTTGATCATAACACAAGATTGCTAATACTAGTACAATGATTTCCTGGTTCTGCTCATTTCACTTTGCATCAGTTCATACAAGTCTCTCCAAGTTTTCTGAAATCTGCCTGTTCATCATTTATTATTGCACAACACTATTCCATTACATTTATAAACCATAGCTTGTTCAGCCATTCCCCAATTGATGGGCATCCCCTAAGTTTCCAACATTTTGCCATTATGAAGAGGACTGCTATAAATATTTTTGCACATATAGGTCCTTTCCCCTTTTTTATGATCTCTTTGGGATAAACATCTAGTAGTAGTATCGAGGGATCAAAGGGTATACGCAGTTTTATAGCCCTTTGGGTATAGTTCCAAATTGCTCTCCAGAATGATTTGATCAATTCACAACTCTACCAACAGTGCATCAATGTCCCAGGTTTCCCATATCCTCTCCAACATTTATCATTTTCTGATTTTATCATATTAGCTGATCTGATAAGTGTGAGGTGGTATCTTAGAGTTGTTTTAATTTGCATTTCTCTAATCAAAAGTGATTTAAAGCCCTTCTTCATATGCCTATAGATAGCTTTGAATTCTTCATCTGAAAACTGTCTGGTCATATCTTTTGACCATTTATTGGTGGGGAATGGCTTATATTCTTATAAATTTAACTCAGCTCTCTTTATATTTGAGATATAAGAAATAATACAGTGAGAGATACTTGCTGTAAATATTGTTTCCCAGTTTTCTGCCTTCCTTATCTCTTTTAATTAGGTCTATTTTTGCTTTTACTTTGTTTGAGATCAGGATTGCTACCCCCTACTTTTTTTTTAAGTTCCACTGAAGCATAACAGATTCTGCTGTATCCCCTTTCACTCTCTGTGTGTATGTGTTTCTGCTTCAAGTATTTCTTGTAAACAACATATTGTAGGGTTCTAGTTTTTGATCCACTCTGCTATCTGCTTCCATTTTATGGTGGAGTTCATTCCATTCACATTCACAGTTATGATTACTAACTGTGTATTTCCATTCATCTTATTCTTCCTCCTGTTTGTCGACTCTCTCCTTCCATCTTTTCCTTCCCCACCAGTATTTTACTTCTGTCTACTATCTCTTCTGATCTGCCCTCCCTTTATCAGTACCCACCCTCCCTTACTTGATCTCTTCCCCTTCTACTTCCTTGTCAGATAAGATAGACTTCTATATTCTACTTATTATGTATATTTTCCCCTCTTTGAGCCAATACTGATGAGAGTAAGGTTCAAGTGATGCTCGTCAACCACCCTCACATCTTCTCCTTTATTGTAATACTTCTTTAGTACCTCTTCATGTGAAATAATTTATCCATTATACTTTTTTTACTTCTTTCTGCACCCAGTGCTCATCCTTTAAACTTTTTTGTCATTCCCTCAAATTCACTTTATACCCACACTCTCTGTCTATATATTCCTTCTAACTGTACTTTAATGATGTAATTTTTTAAGAATTACAAATATAATCTTCCTGTATAAGGATGTAAATAATTTAACTCTATAAAATCCCCTTATATTTTCTTTTCCTTTTTTCCTTTTTATGATTCTCTTGAGTCTTGATATTGGAGGTCAAATTTTCATTTAGTTCTGGTCTTATGAAAACTTGAAATCCCTCTATTTCATTCAATGAACATTTTTTCCCTTAATGCATTATGCATACTTTTGCCAGGTAAATGATTCTTGGTTGTAATCCTAGCTCCTTTGCCTTGCAGAATATTATGTTCTGTGATCTCTGGTCCTTAAATGTTGCAGTTGCTAATTCCTGTGTAATACTGATTCTGACTCCGTGATATTTGAATTGTTTCTTCCTGGCCACTTGCAATGTATTTTCCTTGATCTGACAGTTCTGAAATTTGGCTGTAATGTTCCTTGGAGGTTTTATTTTGGAATCTCTTTCCTGAGGTGATTGGCGGATTCTTTCAATGCCTATTTTGCCTTCTGATTCCAGGACATGTGAGCAGTTTTCCTTGATAATTTCTTGAAAGATGCTGTCCAGATCTTCCTTTTGATTATGGCTTTCAGGTAGACTAGTGATTCTGATATTGTCTTTCCTGGATCTATATTCCAGGTCATTTTTCCCACAAATTATTTTATGTTTTCTTCCATTTTTTCATTCTTTTGATATTGTGTGATTGATTCTTGATGTCTCACAGAGTCATTAGCTTCTACTTGCCCAATTCTAACTTTTAAGCTGTTGTTTTCTTCAAATAGCCTTTTTACTTAATTTTCCATTTGGCCAATTGTAGTCTTTAAGGAGTTGTTTTCTTCAGTGGATTTTTGTATCTCCTTTTCCATTTGGCCAAGGCTACTTTTTAAGCAGTTTTCGACACTGTTGACTTTTTTTTTTTACATAATTCACTTGCATCACTCTCACTTCTTTTGCCAATTTTTCTTCTACCTCTCTTATATGATTTTTAAGCTCATTTTTGACCTTTTCCATAATTTCTTTGTGGGCTTGAGACCACTTTCCATTTTTCTTTAGGGTTTTACCCATAGGTTTTTTGACATTGTTGTCCTCTTCTGAGTTTGTGTTTTGGTCTTATCTGTCACCGTAATGACTCTCTGTGGTCAGATTCTTTTTTGTTGTTTTTTGATCTCTGCTCCCAGGGTGGAAGGAGCTCTGTTTCAGGCTTTTTGTTCCAGTGCCTGCAGGCCCTGGCTATTTATCCCATTGCTGCTCTGATGTTGCCCTGAGGCCATGGGGGACCCTTATGTCTGGTGCTATGTTGAGAGTTTGGGGTGGAGGGTGGCTGGTGCTGCTGGAGGCAGTAGGGATCTGGCAGCCTTCCTGGTGCTGAGCTGGGGTCCTAGTAGTGATGTCTGGTGTATGCTGAGGCCCCTATGGGGTTTTTCTGCAT